CTGGAAATAGGTTTGTGAAGTGTGGTGTAAACTGTGGCTCCTGCTCCAGGTGTTGATAATCCTGTTTGAGACTCAGGGAAGAACAGTCGTCAGTCCTTATCCCTGCCTTGGGAACACTGCAGAGAAAGCTGCCCACTTCCATCGGAAGTGCTGTTTCGTAGGTGAGCAATTTGCCCACAGGGAATACAGGGTCCTTGATGTGAAAATGAGTCAATTCTTCATTGAAAAGGCAGGGCTTTTAACCCAGGAGAGTGTGGCCCCACAGGAGTCAGAAAATATTGAATGTTCCTTTTGCTTCTGCACCCTGAAATGCCCTTCAGCTGTGATGTACCTGTAGGAGCAGATTTCTCCTTTGGGCAAACATAGGGAACACTGCTCATCTACTGTGGGTTAAGCCGATTGCCCACAGCTTCTTCCCAGGGAGAATAAGGACCGCATTCTTCTAATGTGAGTTTTATTGCCTGGAATATTAGCACAGATTCGTGGTTGTGAGATATCTGGTGTCAGTGATGAATGTTGATGTATTTACATAAAGGTGGGAGTTTCTTGCTCGCAGCCCAGGGAGCTCAGGATTTAATGATGATGCTTAATTGCGAAGTGTCTGCAGTCTGGAGGAGATTATCGGGTTTGTTTTTCCCATTTTGAGGATGCGGCACAGGCAGCCCTGGGTGGCGGATTGGCACGTGGCGGTTGTGTGGCAGCCGAGCGCGCCGCGATAATCAGTGGAACGCGCTCGGTGGCGGGAGCTGCAGCAGAGCTGGCGGGGTGAGGTCTGCTGGGATACGGTCAACACAACAGGCTCCGCCGGCAGGGGACGCTGAAGTGACACGAGGCTCTGTGTAAATCGGGCCCGTGCTGGCCGGGGCCAGGGCTGCTGCACGCCAGGCCTGCGACGGGGGTCCGCCGTTCCCGGAGACGAGCCGCTCCAACCCCCCCACCCCCCACCCCCACCCTGCGCTCCGGGCTGGGGAAGCTGGCGCGACGCAGGCCCCACCACTGGGGAGGCAGGGCCAGCGGCGTGGCCGCCTCCGTTCGGCCCAGCGGCCTCTTCTGAAACGCTGGCTGCTGCTTTCACTTTTTTTCCCCCTCCCCTCGATGTTTGGCTTTTCAAAACCCCCCAAAAAGATTTTCCTTTCTTCGTCTTGTGAATCCTGGCCTCCTGTGAGATGCCGCTGTGCCCGCTGTCCTCTCCGCAGTGAATGACCGAGGCAAAGCGCTGCCCGGGCCGCGCAGTCATGTCACGTGTCAGAGCAGTCCTGTTTCTCCAGCCGTGACCCTTTGTTACTTTAAGTCCACAATAAAACTTTAACAGCACTGGCCCCTTTTTTTTTTTTTACAACATGAGAACTCATTTTTCTTGCGTCAAAAAGATTTGAAACGTTTTTTTATGTATTGGAAGACTTAACGACACCAAAGCTAAAAAATGACCTGATTGCGCAAGGAGATAAATTAGACATGCTATTTCTATATCCTGTAGTCTTGTCTAATAAACAGAAGTGGTTTGCCACAACGCACACAGAAATTCCTTTGATCATTTTGTTTCCAGCTGTTGTTTTTGCCCACAGTCACATTCTAGGTCTGAAGCAGGAGTGCATGGCATCATTGCATCAAATCTAGGCAAGAGAGATTTAAGACGGGTTTCTGGTTAATATTCAGACTTACTGATTCTGAGTAGTTGAACAATGAAACCATTAAAACTTGGGTTAAAAAACAGAAGTCTGCCAAGCTGTGTGGAGCTCAAACAAGCACGTTGTGCTGGAGATTTCTGAGTGGTACTATTACTGTATGCATTTTTTTTATAATCCTGCCATGTTTGTGGTTACAGACCGTAAATAATTTCTCGTTGAAGAAATAGAGCCAGCACGGTCCGATTAAAAAAAGCCATTCATTGCGCTCAGAACGCCCATTGCCACAATTTTCAAACGCATCCATAAAGTCAACAGGTTTTATGACTTGGAAGTCATTTTCATACGTTTAAATTAGCTTGTGTTTATTTTAAAAACATATACTTCGTCCCTACAGACATCTTTCTGAATGATCTCATTCAGATTAGTCAGGGTAATAACTGCTCTCAGTTGTTCTGTCCTTATTGTGGGATCAGTCTCGTTGACCCTTCAGATTTATTTAATTGCAGCCTTAATGCTGTTTACTGTATGCTTAAGTGGAATGAAACAGTAGCAATTTAAAGTCATAATGAGTGTGTGGAAAACACAGATTTGACTGCTCTCTTTGGAAATAATGGGAGAGCATGTATAGTATTTGTAATGCTTGCCAAATGCTTAATAAAAAAAAAACATCCCTTGAGTGTTGGAATTGAACGATAACACATGAGGGCGTTCTGCCTAAACTCATTTTTAGAGTGATTTATCCAGAGATTTTAAAAGTCACAATGATTGTGATTGGTGGTGGGTGGGTGGGG